GAGTTGTGTGTATCTATTCCTGATATGAGTCCTATTTCAGGTACCTAGTGCAGCTATTTTCTGTCAGTTTGTGCTTACTTACATCTTTTAGTTATATTTTAATAGCTATTGAGATGTAATTGACATATATATTCGGTATATAATTTAGTAAGTCTTGACATAAATATATGTCCTTGAGAATACCCACACTCATGATACTAAACATATCTGTTACCTCCAGAAGTTTCTCATATTCTATTTTAATACCTTCCACCCACCTCTGTTCCTGTATCCAGGCAACTACTGATTGGTGCTTTTTTTACTATAGATTGCATTTCCTAATGCTTACAGTTTGCATTTTCTGGGAGTTATATAAATAGAGCAATACAATATTTATTTTTGTTTGATTTATTTCACTCAATAATTGAAATTCATTTGTGGTACAGTTTATATCAGGTTTTTTTTCTTTCTTTTTTTTTGCAGAACCAGGGATTGAATTCAGGCTCTTGTGCTTGCCAGGCAAGCAGTTACTCTACTGAGCCATCTCCCCAGCCCCATGTCAGGGTTTTTTTTTAATACTGTCTAGCTTAATACTGCTATGAATTTCTCATCATTTCTTCATTGTTAAATGTGTTGATGGGCATTGGATTGTTTTCTAATTTGGGGGGTAATAAAGATCAAGATGTATTGATAATGTTTGTTTGTGGTCTTAATTTGCATTTTAAAAATTACTAACAATGATTATGTTTTCTTATGCTAGTTTGCCTTCTTAAATGTTCTTTGGTAAAAAGTTTTTTCAATGGTTTGTCAGTTTTTAAATTTCTTGCTTATTGTTGAGTTATGAGAATTTTTGTCCTTTATCAGATGTATGATTTATAATTACCTTTACTATCCTCAGAAAAGAACCCAGATTTCTTAACAAGGTCATAAATAAATTCAATTACAGTTTCTTAGCAAGGTGTTTTGGAACTGAGAGAAAACTATAGTGTGAGGAAATCCCATCTCACCTTGAGAATGAAAGCTGGCGAGGAAAAACCGAACCCCATTTAATCCCAGCCTCCTCACACCCCAGATAGTAGACCTAGTTCACTAGCCAGCCCACTAAATGAATACAGCTAGATTAGTGAGTTTCAGTACATGGAGATCCGAATGCAGGAACTGCCTAGCGAACCCACAGAATCATGAGAAATCATAAATCACTATTGTTTCTAAGGTACCAAGGTAATTTATACACAGCCTCAGACATTCATAGATAAACAGTCAATTTAACTATTTTCACTTTTATTCTTGTCTGTCTGCCAGTCCTTCTCTTCAGAGTAAATAGCCAGCTTGTTATTCAAATCAAAAACTAAATCATCATCCTTGATACCTTCTGTTCCTACATCCAATCATACATCCCACCAGTTATTTCTATAATATTGTGTCAAAGCTGCTCGACTCCAACGCCACACCATTTCTGTCCTAATCTCCTTTGTCTTATGTGTCTGAATTATTATAACAATAATGTAACTGGTCTAAAATTTACTCTAATCTATTTTCCACAAAGTAGATTGTGTGTATTTTGTGTATGGTGTCAGATTGTGGCTTTCTGTTATGCCTAACTAGATCTCAGTGCGTTTATAGTTTGAAACCCACATAATGGCACACATTAAGTGATCTGCTAGCTGCCTGCCTCTTCATTCTCAGCATATACCATTTTGTGCCTTGCTTACTAGGCTGCACTTAAGTCTGACATGTTAACAGGACTTATAACTCATTTTCATAAGCCTTTGTTACTTTTTTGCCTGTGTTAATTCTCTGTAGTGAGTTATAGTGATCCTCACCCCTCTCCCCAAAGAAATAGTGATGTATGAACCCATAAGAATGTGACCTTAATTGCTTAAAAGATATAATAAAGGTGAGAATCTCTAGTTGAGATCATCCTTTATTAGGGTAGGCCCTAAATCCAGTGAGAAGTGTCATGTCTTGTCTACTTTTCTTTTTTCTTTTTTTTTCTTAATGTATTTGGTTGTCGTAGGGTCTCACTACACAGCTTGGACTCGTGGTGATCCTCCTGCTGTCAGCCTCCCCATCACCAGGAATGTAGGTGTGCACCACTATGCCTGCTCGGTCCACCCAGGGGCTAGGGGTGGGGCTGGTGCAGCATGTGGTGCGTGGTGTCAAATTGCAGTCCCTGCACTTGCCTAAGCAGGCACCTTAGTCCACTGAGCTATCTTGATGGCTGGAGAAGTATCTTTTACACACAGAAAAGGAGAAGAAACAAGTTACAGGAAAGATGTGAAGATGGATGTGGAGATTGGAACTAGGCAGCAATGAGTCAGGAAAGAACATGAGCATCAGATCTTAGTAAAGACAAAGAAACACTCTTCTTTATATCTTTTGAAGGGTGCTGATACAACTGACACCTCAGTTTCAGCGTGGTCTAAAATCATTCTTTCTTTAAATTGAAGTAAAATTCAACATGCAATTAACTATTTTAATAATTCAGTACTATTTAGTATGTTTATAGAATTGTCCAACTATCATCTCTCTCTAGCTCCCAAATGTTTTTGTCACCCAAAAGAAAACCTTACACTCATTCTTTCCTTTTCTTTCAGTCTTATTTTATTTTATTATTTATTTATTGTGATATAAAGTCTTCTTATGTAGTTCAGCCTGGCCCTGAACTCACTATGTAGCCTAAGGGTGGCCTTGAACTTTTAGCAGTACTCCTGCCTTAGTCTCTTGAGTGCTAGGACTTCAGGTGTACACCACCACTCCTGGCTCTGCTTTTCCCTCTTTACCTACCTCTTGGCAATGGTCAATCTGCTTTTTGTGGAGGTTTTGTTTTGTTTTGTTTTTTGGTCTTTTTGAGGCAGGGTCTCACTATGCAATTGAGGCTGGCCTGAACTCACTTCTATTGCTCAGGCTGGCCTCAAATTGAAGTGATCCTCCTGCTTCAGCCTCCCCAGTGCTGGGATTATAGACATGTGCCACCGTGTCTGGCTCTTGCTTTCTGTGTTTAGTTTGTAGTTACTATATAAGTTGAATCTTATATAACTTTTTGTTTCTGACTTATTTCCCTTAGCAAGGTTTTGAGATTAGTTCATATTGTAGCACATGTCAGTAATTACTTTTTTGGCTGTATGGTGCTCTGTTGTGTAGAGGTACTGCATTTTTTTTTTAACCATTGAACATTGTGTGGGCGTTTGGATTATTTCTACCTTTGAGGTCTTTTAAATAATACTTTTCTGTGCATGCATTGCTTAAGCGTTTATTCCAATAAGTACTTTTTCCTTTTTTTGACTGTGCACTTGTGGGTTATGTAGTAATTCTGTTTAACTTTTTTGAAGATCCTTCAAACTATTTTCTGCTGTTTGTACTGTTTTACATTCCTGCCATCAATATATAAGAATTTCACTTTGTCCACATCTTTGCAAATTCTTGTTTCTTTATGTGGTGGATTGTGCATCCCCACCCCCATTCTTCCCTCCCTCCATTTGTTGTGACTTTGATTTGGACTTTCATTATGACTAATGATTTTAAGCAGATGTGCCTATTGGCTGTTTATTTTCATTGGCAAAAGAACTATTCAGATTATTTCCCATCTTTTAAAATTGTGTTGTCTTTCTGTTGTTAACATTTTAAAAGTTATTATGTATTCTGTATTCTAATCAAACGTGATTTGCAAATCTCCTGTAGGTTGTCTTTTTAACTTTTTGATGCTGTCTTTTGAAACTAGAGTTCTAATTTTTTTCAAGTACTATAAATTGAAATTAGTGCCTTTACACTGATCTACATTCCAGCCCTTTTTAAATTTTTTTATTTTGAGACAGATTCTTGCCAAATTGTCCAGGCTGGATTTCATTCTGTGATCTTCTGGCCTCAGCGTCCCAGAATGCTGGGATTCTAGGGATGTGCAGCCATACCCATCTCAGAAGCTTTCGTCTTGATGAAGTCTGCTTTTTAATGCTTCTTGTTTATACTTGCATCATATCTAAGAATTCGTTATCAAATCCAAAGTCATGAATATTTACTTCTCTGCTTTAGATTTCGCTAAAGAGTTTTAAAGTTTAGCTTTAACTTTTAGATATTTGATCATAAGTGATCAATTTTGGATCAGTTTTAATCTGTTTTTTAAAATTATTTATTTATTTGGTACAGGGTCTCACTGTGCAGCTTGTGATCCTCCTATCTCAGCCTCGCCCAGTTTTGTTGGCTCAGCACACACAAGGGCAGGCAGGAAGGCCTGTCATGCGGTATGGGCGATCAAACCCGGTCCTTGTGCTTGCCAGGCAGGCACTTAGACCACCACCATATCTCCCCAGCCCAGTTTTAATCTATTTAGAGTTAATTTTTATGTATAGTAGAGGCAGGCCTGCAACTTCATTATTTTTAATTGTTACCACCTATATTTATTACATCTAATCATGAAGTCTCTCCAGCAAAACATCTGAATTGTTTTTTTAAATATCTTTTTTCACATGTATTCAGTCAATGGTAATTTCCCTCTTTCTAGAATTGAAAAGCATATAAATGATGTTTTTCCTAGCTGATCCTATTGTATTGACCAGTAGTAATAGGTCTGGGTGTTTTAACTTGTAAAATTGACAGAGTTGGTAGCAAATCTCTAAAACTTGATACTGGGTTTAAAATTTTATCACTGATTTATCAGTTTAGCTGGTGAAATCTGTGAGAATATGTAGTTGGGAATTTTGCATTTTAATCTTATTTTAGCTGGTTATTCATAGTGTGGTTATATCTTTTAATAAGTACTATTTCCTGATTAGAAGTTATCTCACTAGTTCATTTTTTTTCTCCTCTATCTACAGTGTTAAGTATAATGTAGCTTCTACGCCCTACTAGTGTGAGAAAGTGGTGATGATCTGGTAGCCTTATAAAGCTGTTGCATATGTTCTTTAGCTTAAAAAATAAACCTGCCATGCAGATTGGACTCTATCCATTTTTCTTTTAATGTTAAAACTTTTTAATTTTAATATTGTCTATCTAAAAGAAGATAATTTCATTGTTTCTTTTATTAGTACTTGATTCTAAAGCTTGAAAGGCCTGCTATAGTTCAGAATATCACGTTTGGGAAATATGAAAAAACGCATGTCTGCAATTTGAAGAAATTTAAAGTCTTCGGTGGGATGAATGAAGAAAATATGACAGAACTATTGTCTAGGTGAGTTATGTTGTAGGGGAAGAAAGAGTTTATAAGCAAACTGTAGTTTTAGTTTCTTTATAGGTACATCTGTGTGGGTTTCTCCCAAGGGAGTGAAGAGTATTCTGTTTTTCTCTTCATTCTTTATTTTAATAATGTAGCTTGTGGTAGCTTTTCTGTCTATCTATCTACATTTATTCATTTATTTATTTATTGTGGTACCAGGGATTGAACTCAGGACCCTGTGCTTGCCAGACAAGTGCTTATTTTACTGAAGTATCTCCCCGCCCCTGTTTTTTTATCTTTAACCACCACATACTAGTAAATATTGGCTAGCAGTGAAGAAAGATTACATTTTTCCCCTCTGTTTCGGTCATAATTTTGAACTGTGATTAACTTTTGAGATACTTTCGGCTTTAATCAAGCTGTGCTATAGAGGAGGGCAGAGGTTGGAAGAAAAAAAATCCTTGCTATAAAAATAGGTATCCTTTCCAAAACATTGATATGCATAATCATAATAAGTTGAAGACCAACAAGAAGGTTCTGTAAATGAATAATGTATGTGTCTGTATCTAGCATAATGCCTGCCTCTTGGAAAAAGCTCAGTAAATTTGAGTTTTAAAACACAGGGCACCAAGAGTATTACAGTGTACTTCAGAGAATGAAAAATCAGAGTGTCAGTGGAAGGGATAAATAAGGCCATGGAGATGTAAAATATATCAGTGATATGTCCACCAATACCATACTTTATGTAAGCAAATAATACCGCTGTATTTGATTGGAATTGCAAAAGTACTTCAAAACGTTAAAGCAACCTGAAAATGAAATGATTCTTCTGTAAAATTTGTGTCAGTGCTGTTTGGTTAGAAAGGTAATATGTGTTAATTTATGTTTAGGAGAAAGTAAATGATTTGAAACCTAAAAAATAAGACTGACTGAAAAGCTTTTGAATTGTAAAGGGAATGTTAACATCTCATTGAGAATTAAGTGATTTAATTCTTTGATTAAATAAGTACTCAGCATTAAGTCATCAGATATGAGAATGAATTTTTAATTATGGGGGCCGGGGAGATGGCTCAATAGAATAAGTGATTCCCTGGCAAGAACAAGGGCCTGTGTTTAATCCCCGGTTCTGTACCCCCCCATTTTTAAAAAAAATTTTTTTCATATGACTTAGAAATTTTGTCACACTCCATAAAATGTTAAGAAATGTTAACATTAGGTTCTGTTATGCATTCCCATGTACTATAACAACATTCATAAACACTGTATTTTTTTCATTAGGTCTCATAGATACATTTGTGTTGCATTTGATTTAAATATACAAGTATTGACCTGTATTCCCATGTTCACCTACTTGTTTATACCATCTTGATCAAGTATTATGAATATTGGTTTGATTTTAAAGTCTTGAGTATGGCATTATTGTGTGTTTTAGGATGTTACTAAATTATAAAACCAAATTTGATAACCTTATTTTTTTCCTCACAGTGGTTTAAAGAATGATTATAACAAAGAAACATTTACCTTGAAGCATAAAATTGATGAACAGATGTTCCCTTGTCGATTCATTAAGATAGGTAAGGTTTTATACTCCTTTAGTATAGAAACAAATTGTTTCTGCTATTGGCCTACAAACTATATACTGCTTATGGACTGAGTCTTCTGGGCCTCCTGTATTTTTAAATAAAATTTTATAGAAGGCTGCTACACTGATCAGTGCACATATTGTCTGTTTCTGTTTTTGTGCACCAAACATAGAGGCAAATAGAAGAAAACCATATAGCCCGCAAAGCCCAAAAGGTTACTGTTTGACCTTTTACGGAAGTTCTGTGACCCTTAATTTATAACTCCAATACTAAGTTAGTGTTAGTAATTTCAAGTGGAACTTATTCCAATTGTTTTCTCATTTGAAGACTGAGAAGTTTTTATGAGATAAATTAGTTTCATTCCATGAGTTGTTTTATGAGTTTGTTATTCTAAATTATGACATTATAAAACCAAATAGAATTCTTTAAGGGAGGCTATATAGTTCATTCCTGTTTTGTTCTTTTGTATTTTATTTTTTTAGTGGTTAAACCCATTTACACTGATTTCTTGACCTACAAATATGTTGCAAAGCATTGTTTGAAAAATAGTTTTAAGGGCCAGGGAGATGGCTCAGTGGAATAAGCACTTTCTGGGCAAGTGCAAGGGCCCGAGTTCAATCCCCAGTTCCAGGAAAAAATAAATAAAAGAAAAATAGTTTTAAGAAATATATTTACTTAGTATTTTAGTTTATGAAAGTATTTGTAGTGCATCCTCAAAAATAGAAAATTTCAGGTTATTTTGATTGCCATTAGGTTAAAAGATAGAAAAGTTGAATCTTTTCATCTCTCTTGTACACTTTTGAAAATACTATATTTAAATTAGTCAGATTTCATGAATGATAATAAAATCCAGAATCCTACAATGTACTTTATAGTCATTGTGTGTCATTCTACTAAGGGTAAACCTGTTAATTTCATTGAGTCAAAAGAGGTACATGAGATTCTAATATATTACTCATAATGGAAAATATTATATCTACTCAAGTCCCAGCAAAGCATTCAGTGTATTAAATGTTGCTATCCTCTGATTATTTGGTTATGAATTTAGTTTTTCATGGAATTAAGAAAAGTGCTTTTTATATTTTTTATTCATGACTATATGTATAGTATTATATAAAAATAAAAAAACTCATTTTATTAAAATCTATAGAGCACTTGTATTCTATGTTTCTTCTGTATAACCAGTAGTCCAGCTGAAATACTGGGCAAAAAGAATATCTGAGGTGTTAGAGACTATTGAGATAAAACTACTTTTATTTATTTATTTATTTATTTATTTTTATTTTTTGCTCCGAATGCCCTCAGGGCTTGTTTGGCTGGCTGGAGAGTTGTGGGGATCGAACTAGAGCCACCTGAGGCTGACAGCTTGGTGGAAGCAGCCACTTAAAGAACTGAGCTAGGGCCAGGCCCCCTAAAACTACTTTTAGATTAATTGACTATTTAGTGCATTATTTTTCTTTTGTAACTGTTGTTTCTGTTGTAACTGATTTTAAATGAGAGCTTATGTCTCGTTCTCTTGTGATTTATGTTATTATTATTATTATTATTAATCTTTATTTATTTGGTGCAGGGTCTCACTACTTATTTCAGACTTGTAGTGATCCTCCTGTCTCAGCCCCCCACCCTGGGCTGGGATTACAGGCGTGCTTCACCATGCCCAGTTTTAGTGGTTGGCACAGCATGCCCTTCTGGGGCCTGCATGGCATGTGGTACAGGGGATCAAACCCAGGTCTTTGTGCTTGCCAGGCAGGCGCTTAGACTGCCGAGCTATCTCCCCAGTCCTACTTGTAATTTATTTTAAAGATTTTTTCAAATTAAATTTTGGTTATTCCTTCTTTTGCACTAGTAATTCCTTCATCAGTATTTAGTCTGTCCAAATTCCTGAACGCCACTGTATAGGTTTATCAATTTTGTGATCTTAAATCTTTGATTTTAAATCTATAAACAGTAGGATCCTTTCTTCTCTTATCAGCCTTTTTCCTTTTTTCCACAGTAATTGGGTATATGTATTTTTCCTTCACCTTTATTAATATGATACATAATTGTATATATTTATGATGTGCATATTTCAATATATGTGCATATTATGAAGTGATTAAGTCCAACTAACATTTATATTCATACAATATGTATATATGTGTTAAAAACTTACAAGATCTACTCAGCAATTTTCAAGTATTCAGTACATTATTATTATAGTCACCATTTTGTACATTCTAGATCACTAGAAATGATTTCTTTAACTGAATCTTTGTACTTTTTGAACACTGTTTCTTTATTCCCACTGTCAGCTTTCTTATGACAGGGACTGTCTTTCAGTTGACCCAGCTTAGTTTTATGGTATTTAGATGCAGTATTAATTGTAGTGTTAAAAAAAAATAGACATAAGCTCATTTGATACTCAGAATATTTAGTTTCATATTTCTTGCCAGTTAAAAGATATTAATACTGCTTTATAGTGTGTTTGCTTTCTAGCTTTTTCCTAACCTTTTCTCAATAAGTTTTCTTAGAAATTAAGGAAATCATAAAACTTACAAAACTTTATGTTAGTGTTTTGATTTATCACTATATCTCTTAAAAATTCATTCTGATAAGACTTGAGTGATCTGTCACTGTCTTTTGGTGAACTATATTTTATCACAGATATTTGTTTAATTGGGTAGGATAAATGATTAGAATTTATCTCAAGTTTTTGTTTACATTGATGTTCTACAATGATGCAGTTTAAAAGAACCTGATTTAAACTTATTTTTAACACAATTTATATATATAGTTAACTTTCAGTTATTCATATTAAAGGAATGGAACAGAAACAAGACTAACTCTGATACATTGTCTCTAAATTATGCAGTGAAATCTAATTAATTTTTTTTTTTTTTTTGTAGTACACGGTCTGTGGGGTACAGGATCTACAGGATCTCACTACGTAGATCAGACTTGTAGTGATTTTCAGCCTCCCAAGTGCTGGGATTATAGGCACTCACCACCATGCCCAGACTCAATTGCTGTCTCAGTGCTCCAGGGGCGTGGCCGGCCCAGCATGCTGGGGATCAAAACCCTGCTGCTGCGTCTGCCTAAGCAGTGTTTTGTTTTGTTTTTGTTTTTTAATTTAATACCTTTTTCTTTTAATTTATACTGTACTTCCATGGCGCTAGCTACTTTATGTTAAGGTTTGGCTGGGTAGTCTTGTATGTTGCTAGATACTAGCAGTAAGTTTTCAGACCTTGTGCACAACACCAGGCACAGTACAGTTCCAGATCCGAATAAAGACAGCCAGACAACTCTACTACAATCAACCTTTCCCATAAATATGGCCCACTGCAGGTGTTGGGGGCTCTTCCCTCTGCATCACCTCACTCCATCCCATGTGAGGAATATGTAGGGGCCCATATAGCTTCTGATTCATCCCTGCCTATCTTGGAGGCTTAAGTTGAGTGTGGGGGACTAGCACCATGAGTTTGGAAGACCTTTTTTTTTTTTTTTTTTCCAGAACTGGGGATTGAACTCAGGCCCTTGCCTTTGCCAGAGAAGCACTTATTCCACTGAGCCATCTCTCTGGCCCCTGTAGCACCATGAGTTTGGGAAAATGGTCTGGTCCATGCGAGTGGTTTGACTCTAGTGAAGGTTAAGGAAATATGGGGAGCCACATATTTCCATATGACATCCGAGCCCAGGAGCAACTCCCCAGACAGAGTCAGCAGTCCTGCCTGGGGCATGCGCTAACTTTTTTTTTTTTTTTGAAACTAAAGCATCATTTTTATTATAGATTAACACAAGTTGGAGGCCAAAGGTCAGCATAGACACCTAGAGAGCTTTGACTTTTCCTACTCCAGTCATGGTAACTGTGATATTACCTCTATTCTGTTCACATCCAAGGACAGAATCACCTATCTTGTGGCATGCCTGACAGCATTGGAAAAATGTATGTTCTATGCAAGTGGACAGAATCCATGGTAGAAATGAAAGCAAGAGCAAATTTTTGTCCAAACTCTGTATGAGCCTGGGTCCAATCAGAGGACAGAAACTACACAGTAACTCTTATTTTACCTAATAGTCCAAAGCATTAAAAGTAGTGATGCTAGTGATGTGGACTTGCCAAAGTGAAGATTTAAAGTATCTCTCTTAATTAAAAGGTAAACATTCAGCAAAGCATGGGGTTGTGTGCCTGTAATCCCAACATTTGGGAGGCTGAGGCAGGAGGATTGCTGAGTTCAGTCCCAGCCTGAGCTACATAAATGAATTCATTAGCTTTTTTTTTTTTGGCAGAACCGGGGATTGAACTCAGGTCCTTGCACTTGCCAGGGAAGCGCTTATTCTACTGAGCCATCTCCCCGGCCCCTACATAAATGAATTCAAAGCCAGCCAGTACTACATAGTTGAGAACCTGTCTCAAAAAAAAAAAAAAAAGTTCTTCATAATAGAAGGAAATAAAATCATATGCGATTGCTAAACTGTATGGCAACTTACTATTAATATCTCATAGTGCTTAACTTATAAACTAAACTTTATCACAAGTGTATGTATAGGAACATAGGGAGCTGGACATGGTGTTGCATGCCCCTAACCTGCACTAACGTTTTGCTTCTGCAGTATCTTCTTGTGATAGTTGTCATTTATAATGAATATATGTTATTCATTCTTATTCATATGTTTCCATAAGCTATATTAGAATAAATTTGATCACAAATTTTTGACAAGGTAAGGAATCCCAGTTTTATTGTGTGGCAGGGGGTTTCTAAATAATTTTAAGTATTTATATGTGATATTTAGAATATTAGTATTTAGATAACTTATTTTTCTGTTAAAATTGGTATTGATGGCTGCTTTCCTTCAGATAAATTTTATATTTCTTTCTAAAGTAGACTTTTGGTATGAAATGAGGCTGGTAATACCTTTTCTATGTAATGATAGGATAGTTATATTGGACTATAACTTGAAATGTTTTGATTTATGGAGTAGTTGGTAGTCTATTAAATTTTAAGATCCCATTT